CCGGTGAAGCAGTGGAAGTAGCCATAAGCGGCAACAACTTATTGGCTGTGTCCCAATTCAGGTGCTGCATCTTCCGAAGGCTGCATTTGAAGACCGATTACATCACAGTCGGCGCGACAAGGCTGTCCCATTTCGAAGCCTCCTTCAAATGCGGCCGAGAAATGCGCCCTTCCTTTCCCGGGCAAAGAAGGATGCAAGGGGTGTATCCTTCGCTGGCCAACATATCCCAGGATTCACTGCGCGCTGGTGATGAATCACTTTTCAAAAAGAAAATGGCCGCACAACAAACACAGTGGCCGAGGAGGACACTTTTAAATGTAAGTATTGGGTTTCAACTTAATCGAATAGCTAACGATACAAATGCTAAAAAACCAAGGGGCCTTAACACCTCAAATTTTCATTAAAATAGTTACGTGTTAAGTTATGTGACGTTAGTGATGTTAGCTAGCTAGCTTATTGCAGCTTGGCTTCCCGCATCCGACCTATGTTTCAGCCTTAAAAAATAAAATTAAAAATTCTGGCTCCATCTTTTAGCTAGCTAGCTGTGTCCCAATTTTTAACTGCAGCTGTCAAGGTTGCTAGGCGACAGGAGCGGCGCTTGGTGAAGCAACGGTAACGGCTGGAACAGCTGGTGACGCAAATAGGAAATCCTCACGTAGACCAGACCGTTTCATTTCTGTTTGGCCTTCACGGTCTACGAATGCGGCCCCTGAATTGGGACACAGCCATTATGTTTCCGAATGGCTAGCCAGCCACTGCGGTCCGTTCAAACGCGTGTAACATCCCATAAAACTTCCAATAAACACCGAGGCGTTTATTTGCTTTAATTACTTAACTTTACCGGCATTTATTGGAGACTCGGCGATAGTAAAAGACCTGCGTTTATTTCACCTAAAGCCCTCAGGCTTCTGCAAGTTATTGGTAGCTGAACTGACCAGGAAAATTCACCATGTTTTTTCCCCAAGTAGCCTGCTTAAAAAATATTATACAGTGCTTTTTGGTTGCAACTCAAACAGGAATCAATAATAAAGTAAGTTAAACATTGTCATTGCAACCTATGAGGGGAGAGCACAGTCTGTAAGAATAGCAGTATCACTGTGAATTTAGGCTACCGTAATCCGAAAGGACAGCTTGTTTTGTTTGGTTATGTTTAATCTAATTCGTGAACAGATGAACACGCATAAGGCAAATTGAATTCACTAGAACAACCTCATTTAGCCTAATGTAAAAAATTATTTGTTTGTGTTATTTCATTTTCTAGCAACAAAAAAATAAATAGGACTACTGTAAGCATTTTAACACACTGCTCTTTCGTTTTATAGTCACGAAAAATAAATATAATTTTCCCCAGCATTTACTTCACTGAAAGGGTTGCGACCAGCTATTATAAGAGGCCTGTGTTTATTGGAGACTCGGCTATTATTGGAAGGTTTACGGTATATAGTGTTAGATATATTGCTTTTTGGGGGAATATTTCTTTCTGTGTCATTAGCGTTGCCCGAAATGGCATTATGGAGCTCAGATACATGTTGCACCATTTGCGGCTGTACTAATAACCAGGCTATAAGCTAAATGTGTGGCTTCAACAACAATACTTTGATCATGTGCCAAAAACAAAGAGGGACTGTAGCTGTCATCAGTTGTAGACTTTCCATCGCCTGCCAAAAGATGATGAATCGAGACGATATTGGCTGACGAACCTAAACTTAATAGAGACCACTGAAATGCCTTACGTATATTCATGTCACTTTGTTGACAAGAAATCAACGGAGGCAAACCCACATCCTACTTTGTGGTTGGGCTACGAACGACCACCAAGTTGATATAAACATATTTAATAATATATATATGTCTAATTCATAGTACAATAAAAATAATGTTTCTAACAATGAAAATGAGTCTGTCGTCTATGGCAAAGTGGACCAAAAGTTTGACGTGTGTCTGTATCTACCTTTTGAAGAAAGAAAACAAAAATGGCCAGATGGGTCTGCAAAGATCCCTAAAAGAATTCAAAAGAGATACAGTTGCTGGATTTAAAGTTATATCTACTAATGAATGAATGACCTGGCGCACTTAACGCTAGCTAGTTAGCTAACTAACGTTAAGTTGCTAGCTAGCAAACGGTACTTAAAATCAGAAGTCAATACCTTGGCTTGCAGTACGAATGTTAAAATTGACTGTTCACAAGAGACATGATGAAACTATACTGGTTTGATAGCTAGCAAAGTGCGTGAAAGCCAAAGTAGCTAGCTAGCTACTGGCACATTCAGCTTAAAAGTACAAATACCACCTTATAAAGACAAATCTAGCTAGCTAGCTAGAATACAAACAAAACAATAAACGTAACTAGCTAGTTACTATCACATTCCGCTGACAAATACAAATATCACCTTGCAAACAAAGACATAGCTAGCTAGCTACAATAAAAACAATGTAGAAAGCTAGATAGCTTGCTAGCTAATTTGGCGTTCACACACTTTGGTCAGCTGTTATATTACTAAGAGCTACCTAGCTATCAAACTAATAAAGCCTCATCACGTCTCTTCTGACCAAATAGTTAATTTTACCACAGACACTGAAAGCAACCTGTTCTGACAACTTCAGCACTGTCAGCTAGCTACCAAATCAACATGATAATTAGCTAGCTAGCTAGGTAGTCTGCAGTGTTTTAGCTAGCTAGTTAGCTAAGTGCGCCAGGTCTTTCTTAACATCGGCATCGGCTATCGGCCAAATTGTTATTTTAAACATCGGTATCGGCCCAAAATTTCAAAGTCAGTGCATCCCTACGATTTGTTATTTTGCTATCACTCACAAACGCCGGTTCTGATATAGTGGTGTAACAATGGAAGTCACGCCCATAATTCAGGCAAGGTATCATGGGAGCTAGGAATAAGGTGGATAAGGTCATCCACTTCTGCATTCCAAGTAGCCTGGCATCCCTCACAGGTCAGCTCTGGCATGTTGAGATCATACCGTCCTACAAAGTCACATTTACATTCACTGTAATGTTATGACTGCCAAGGTTAGAATGCTATGTGTAGTATGTGCCATACACTGTATATCTCAGTGGTTCAGTAAAGCCCGCTGACTTAGTGGGCACTATAATGAATCAGTCATTTGTAAATGGTATGAATAAATAAGTGCCAGCTGTCCAATTCCCCCAAAAAAGTTTGCATGACAACCCTGATGTGCTCATTTCTTTGAGACATTAAGTTCTTGTGGGAGTTGTTGAATAGGGATACATCTTTTTTGAAACTGGACAAAGGAAATCTTTCACATAATTACCATTTATTGTGACCAAAGCAACTGCCTTCCCTTGGATGACCCTCAATGCCTCTGGTGGACAGCCACAGATTTGGATCGGCATCTCGATAGGCAAAAGTTGCACTGAAAGACATTACACATTTGAGTTAGGATAATTCATCATTAACGACACATACACATATACAGTGGTCCCCCCTTATCCACGGTTTCAGTTACCCGCGGTCAACCGCGGTCCAAAAATATTAAATGGAAAATTCTGGAAATAAACAATTCATAAGTTTTAAGCAGCGTGAGCAGCGTGATGAAATCTCACGCTGTCCCACCCAGGATGTGAATCATCCCTTTGTCCAGCGTATCCACGCTGTATACGCTACTCGCCCATTAGTTGCTTATGTATAGGAAAAAAACATAGTATATATAGGGTTCGGTACTATCCACGGTTTCAGGCATCCACTGGGGGTCTTGGAACATATCCCCTGTGAATAAGGGGGGTCTACTGTACACACTGACATAAAGTAGTCCGTAACTTAGCACAGTGTGTAAGAGCCTTATCCACAACACAACTGGTTGGAGTCAATGGCTGGAAGAAACCAGCACACATGGCATCCCGGTTGTGGAGGACGTAGGTTTTATTGTGCCTGCTGATGTCACATTCAACACAGAGTTATGGACATGGGAGGCAGTCTCGGCATCTGACAGCCACCCAGTTGTTCCCACACTGGCTGCAGATGTTTGTTGTCACATTCCCCTGTGCCAGCATACTATTAACAAGGCAAGGTCTCATTGCCCTCCATCTCTCAGAAAAGAGAGCATTATGAGTGCTCCAATCCAAGGAAGCCAGAGGAGAAGCCTCTTTGATCTGCTGCTGCTTCTTCTAGCTCATCACCAGAGCCAATGAAGGAGTGCTGCAGATCTTGCAGAAGACATTCTATTGCAATTGTAAAAGAAATACATGCAGTGGCTATAAGAGGCCCAAGAATTTTTTGCCCACTGTTTGATCATTTGCACACAAACTAGCCAAAAACATGGAATTTACATTGTAACACAGTGTTAGATAACATTGTGAATGATGCTTGGCAATTGCTGATCAACAGCTTCAAAACGTCACATCTCCAAAAAAAAAAAAAAATCAAGAGACACAAAAAATTAATGATTAATTCAGGGAGAAGCATATCCTCATAAAGCTTGTTTTGGAGACTTTTTTCAGTCTAAGAGTTAATTTTGCAGATACAAGGTACAAGACATTATACACAGTACATATATAATGAATTACATACCAGCAGAGACTGTCTCTGAAGCCGTCTCTGGAGCAAAGGTCACCTCCAAATTGACCACCAGGCAAAAAGGGTTCCATTTGCTAAAAGACGGTCATGATCACCTCCTTACTCTCAAGGGTGTTGAACCTGCTGATGTTCTCTCATGTCTGAGGATTTCAAACTGGAGCTCATTGTGAAGAACAAAAGGCTCAAATCCCATTCACTTTCCCTCATTGAGAAATACAGCTAAAAGAGATGAATCATTCTGATTTGAGACTCTAGACGTTGTTCTAAGGGACGGATTCTTGATAAGGGTGTGAGGTGTTTGGAATTTTACTTTTGGGCAAGAGCGTTGCCAATCTAAACCCTTGAGCTGGGCAATCGGATGATTGCCTGGATGTATATCGTCTACTATAATGTTCATCCGTTTGCCAAAACTGACAGCTGAGAAAAAGACAACAAACCACAAGCTCAGTAGTGGAGGAAGTGACCGAGTGGTTAAGGTGATGGCCTGCTAATCCATTGTGCTTCGCATGCATGTGTTTGAATCCCATCCTCGTTAAAGAGCACTTATCTTGCATTTACAGTCAATGCAAACTTGCAAGGTTACATTGAAAATCATTTGAAATAGCTTGTATTTGTCTCTTTTAGTCACTGTCCAAAGACTTACTAACCAAGTCCAATAACAGCATGCCCACCACCTAAAATGTGATCATTTTCATGTTTTGAACATGTAAGATATCAAACTTTTTTCACTTCCAAAAGCAAGAAAATCTTTGTCCTTCCCACTGAAAAACCAAACAGAGAATTCTCCTGATAGGCGTGAATGCTCCCCGATATTCAAATCTGCACAATTGTGGAAGGTTCACAGCCATGGCCTTGTAGATGTAACCAGCGGTCCAATTTCAAGGCACCGCTTTTAAATCTGAAAGCTCACCTGAGAGAACTGCTCCTTCCTTGTCGGCCCGCAGGGCTTCTCCGTTCACAACATCCTGGACATTTGGTACTTCCTGAAATATCAAGAAGTTCAGCGGTGAGTAGAGCCGTCTCCTATCAAGTCTCACTTGTGTGTAATAATCTAGCCAAGCACATCCGGGATTCAATCTCCGCTTTAACAATTATGTCCAGGATAAAAACCCACCTATTCAGTCTGTGCTGCTAATAACTGTAGTCTAAAGGCAGACTTGGAGAAGGGTGTACCTGTGGAAACATTGGATGGCACAAACCATTTTGGTATCACTCCACAACGTTTAGCCGCCACCATTGAGGCAGAATGACTGGCTCACAACTGCGCACATGATCTGCTTCTTTTCTGCTAGTCAAGGATCTATACCTCACAAGTGGAAGAGATGCTTGTCCATGTCGCTATCTCTGTGCTTTCTTCTCTCTTTATTGCTCTTTCAAACTGCAGTAGCTGTGCTCTAACCGCATGTACGCATTTGTTACTCCCATCCAACAGTCTCAGCTTTCAGATGGCTGTCTGCATACAGACATCCCGCTGCCCTGAGCCCTGAGGTGCGAGTCTCCTCTACTTTAAAGATGTCCAGCTGCCAGCAGGTGATTAGCGCACGGCAACGCTGAGATGAAAAAAGTCAACCTGACCGTCAAGGCCACTGCAGATCTGACACCTTCAACGTCCACATGCCAGGAGCCTATCCTGAAAACCAACTTAGAGACAAACAAGACGACTGACAACTATCACCTTGCAGAAGTTTGACTCCATCATTTCTTTGCTTGGGGTCTAAGAATCAATTCAGGGTTAAACAGGCTCGGCCTTTTGGTTTTCCCTGTTCTTTTATGCGATACCATCTGGAAAAGCTTGGCTGTACACTGTAATATATTTAAGTGATGGCCTTGATGTACACATATGACCTGAGCCTTTACGCAGTCTGCCGCATCTGCACATTTTCGAAGACTTGCAGTTTCTACAGACGACAACTTCAGCAGTCGCAAGTTGTAGGAGGCTCAGTGGCACAATGGCTAGCGCTCTGTACTCTGATTCCAGCAGACCTGAGATTCTTGAGAGTAGACAGCTACTCCTGCAACCCTTTCTTTTTCCATAACGCTGGCTCAGCAGCCGGTCATGACAGAGCGACGTTGTACTACAGTCTCAGCTACCTTCCTCTAGAAGATCAGGATCGTGCTATGCGGGTATCTCTTCATTCCAGGCCATATCAGCCCAGAATGGTAAACCGTTCTTGGAATGGCAGTTTCTGCCTTCATGACCAACCGCAGTTCCCACAGAACAGAGAGAGAGCAGTGGCACACAGCCGGTGGTTCCATGGTGTAATGGCTAGCACTCTGGACTCTGAATCCAGCGATCCGAGTTCAAATCTCGGTGGGACCTTGGCGGCTCTTTTGTTCTGTGCTTTCAGGTTTGCGTGCAAACATTGACTTTGTTCCAGCCTTTCCCCATCTCATCATAGTTTGGCCTGGCTTAGGCCGAGGTAAGTGGACAGGTACTGTGTCCTGGGCCGTTAGCTCAGTTGGTTAGAGCGTGGTGCTAATAACGCCAAGGTCGCGGGTTCGATCCCGTGCGGGCCATGGATGGTTTCTTCCTTTTGAAATAAACTTGTTAGCAAAAGAAAGAAAATCTTTGCCTTTCCCACTGAAAAACCAAACAGAGAATTCTCCTGATAGGCGTGAATGCTCCCCGATATTCAAATCTGCACAATTGTGGAAGGTTCACAGCCATGGCCTTGTAGATGTAACCAGCGGTCCAATTTCAAGGCACCGCTTTTAAATCTGAAAGCTCACCTGAGAGAACTGCTCCTTCCTTGTCGGCCCGCAGGGCTTCTCCGTTCACAACATCCTGGACATTTGGTACTTCCTGAAATATCAAGAAGTTCAGCGGTGAGTAGAGCCGTCTCCTATCAAGTCTCACTTGTGTGTAATAATCTAGCCAAGCACATCCGGGATTCAATCTCCGCTTTAACAATTATGTCCAGGATAAAAACCCACCTATTCAGTCTGTGCTGCTAATAACTGTAGTCTAAAGGCAGACTTGGAGAAGGGTGTACCTGTGGAAACATTGGATGGCACAAACCATTTTTGGTATCACTCCACAACGTTTAGCCGCCACCGTTGAGGCAGAATGACTGGCTCACAACTGTGCACATGATCTGCTTCTTTTCTGCTAGTCAAGGATCTATACCTCACAAGTGGAAGAGATGCTTGTCCATGTCGCTATCTCTGTGCTTTCTTCTCTCTTTATTGCTCTTTCAAACTGCAGTAGCTGTGCTCTAACCGCATGTACGCATTTGTTACTCCCATCCAACAGTCTCAGCTTTCAGATGGCTGTCTGCATACAGACATCCGCTGCCCTGAGCCCTGAGGTGCGAGTCTCCTCTACTTTAAAGATGTCCAGCTGCCAGCAGGTGATTAGCGCACGGCAACGCTGAGATGAAAAAGTCAACCTGACCGTCAAGGCCACTGCAGATCTGACACCTTCAACGTCCACATGCCAGGAGCCTATCCTGAAAACCATCTTAGAGACAAACAAGACGACTGACAACTATCACCTTGCAGAAGTTTGACTCCATCATTTCTTTGCTTGGGGTCTAAGAATCAATTCAGGGTTAAACAGGCTCGGCCTTTTGGTTTTCCCTGTTCTTTTATGCGATACCATCTGGAAAAGCTTGGCTGTACACTGTAATATATTTAAGTGATGGCCTATGACCTGTACACATATGAACTGAGATTTTCAAGACTTGCACTACAGCTGGGTTGTTCCATGGTGTAGCAGACCTGAGATTCTAGCACTCTGGACTCTGAATCCAGTGACAGAGCGAGTTCAAAGTCTCAGCTACCTTCCTCTAGAAGATCAGGATTGTGCTATGCGGGTATCTCTTTTCAGCCCAGAATGTTCTGAACAGAGAGAGAGCAGTGGCTTTCCATGGTGTAATGGCTGCACTCTGGACTCTGAATCCAGCGATTGACTTTGTTCTTTTGTTCTGTGCCTTTCCCCATCTCTTTCATCCAGCCTTGGCCTGGCTTAGTTTGGCCTGGCTTAGGTAAGTGGACAGGTACTGTGTCCTGGGCCGGTTAGCTCAGTTGGTTAGAGCGTGGTGCTAATAACGCCAAGGTCGCGGGTTCGATCCCCGTACGGGCCATGGATGGTTTCTTCCTTTTGAAATAAACTTGTTAGCAAAAGAAAGAAAATCTTTGCCTTTCCCACTGAAAAACCAAACAGAGAATTCTCCTGATAGGCGTGAATGCTCCCCGATATTCAAATCTGCACAATTGTGGAAGGTTCACAGCCATGGCCTTGTAGATGTAACCAGCGGTCCAATTTCAAGGCACCGCTTTTAAATCTGAAAGCTCACCTGAGAGAACTGCTCCTTCCTTGTCGGCCCGCAGGGCTTCTCCGTTCACAACATCCTGGACATTTGGTACTTCCTGAAATATCAAGAAGTTCAGCGGTGAGTAGAGCCGTCTCCTATCAAGTCTCACTTGTGTGTAATAATCTAGCCAAGCACATCCGGGATTCAATCTCCGCTTTAACAATTATGTCCAGGATAAAAACCCACCTATTCAGTCTGTGCTGCTAATAACTGTAGTCTAAAGGCAGACTTGGAGAAGGGTGTACCTGTGGAAACATTGGATGGCACAAACCATTTTTGGTATCACTCCACAACGTTTAGCCGCCACCGTTGAGGCAGAATGACTGGCTCACAACTGCGCACATGATCTGCTTCTTTTCTGCTAGTCAAGGATCTATACCTCACAAGTGGAAGAGATGCTTGTCCATGTCGCTATCTCTGTGCTTTCTTCTCTCTTTATTGCTCTTTCAAACTGCAGTAGCTGTGCTCTAACCGCATGTACGCATTTGTTACTCCCATCCAACAGTCTCAGCTTTCAGATGGCTGTCTGCATACAGACATCCCGCTGCCCTGAGCCCTGAGGTGCGAGTCTCCTCTACTTTAAAGATGTCCAGCTGCCAGCAGGTGATTAGCGCACGGCAACGCTGAGATGAAAAAAGTCAACCTGACCGTCAAGGCCACTGCAGATCTGACACCTTCAACGTCCACATGCCAGGAGCCTATCCTGAAAACCATCTTAGAGACAAACAAGACGACTGACAACTATCACCTTGCAGAAGTTTGACTCCATCATTTCTTTGCTTGGGGTCTAAGAATCAATTCAGGGTTAAACAGGCTCGGCCTTTTGGTTTTCCCTGTTCTTTTATGCGATACCATCTGGAAAAGCTTGGCTGTACACTGTAATATATTTAAGTGATGGCCTTGATGTACACATATGACCTGAGCCTTTACGCAGTCTGCCGCATCTGCACATTTTCGAAGACTTGCAGTTTCTACAGACGACAACTTCAGCAGTCGCAGGTTGTAGGAGGCTCAGTGGCACAATGGCTAGCGCTCTGTACTCTGATTCCAGCAGACCTGAGATTCTTGAGAGTAGACAGCTACTCCTGCAACCCTTTCTTTTCCATAACGCTGGCTCAGCAGCCGGTCATGACAGAGCGACGTTGTACTACAGTCTCAGCTACCTTCCTCTAGAAGATCAGGATCGTGCTATGCGGGTATCTCTTCATTCCAGGCCATA